TATCCAACAACTTAGCACACACGTCAAACATGCCATTTCCATCGTCCAGACGTTTTTTTTCTCTTCAATTGAACAAAAAATGAGAATCAATCAATCCGATAACTTTAATTGATCAATCTCAATGTCTTAGTTAACAACTCGGTAGAAAATGAAAAATAGAAAAGCAACGCGTCCTTCAACTCTTAGCTGACGTAAGAAAACACTCGGGAATTAGCAAGATCAATCAGTAATGCATTTTCCATTCGTTTATTCATTAAAATGATCCAGCCATCATCAGAACCAGTCATGAGACTTCTTAATTGAGAATATTTCAACTCGTCCTCATGCATTCATTGAAAATGTTTATAAAAAATTATCATCAACAAATCCCCAATTGTTTTTAATTCTCAATTAATTAAAAAATCTTCACGCGATTTTCCATACTCCAAAATTTTATTTATTGAAAGAAAATAATTGGATTAAAATATAATTGTCATATTTTTTCGGTAATTTTTGAAATTCTAATTTCGAAATTTTTGGAAATTCCAAAATATTATGAACAATTATATTTTTATTATTTAGGATGATATGATTGTGTTATAAACAGTTTATCTGTTAATATCGGAAATATCGCGAATAATGGCGCGCGAGGGGCGAGAGGGAGGGGGTGGGGAAGGGTTAAGGGGTGGTAAAGGGGTAGATTGGAATGAGACATGACCTATAAAAGCTCATGGAGCTTTGGCGGCTCAAGCTAATGCCCAGAAACACGCGATTCAACGATTCATTGCTGACGAATCGTCCTGTGGCGTGCGATCATGGATGCACCTTCTGGGGATAGGGACCCTAGACTATTCTAGGGAAAAACCACGCAAAATGGAACGCCAGAGCAAAATGGAAACCAGGAAATTGTTAAATTCTCGTTATTATTAATACAGAATTACTATACTGACGGAAAAATTGATTTAAATCAATAATCAATCAATTCCAATTTTTCAATTCCTCAGGTTAATTTTAATTAATCTTTATAATTATTTATTGAATGAAAAACGAAATAATAATAATTCATACCAATAAATAAATTTCAAATATTATTACTAAATTATCAGGCTATTATTATTACCTGACAATTTTATAAATGGAAATTGAAGAAATTGGTATAAACAATTTTTTTTACTTTTTATTATTATTTCATTTTTTTTTTAATTTTTTTTTTTTTTTTAATTGCATATCATATTCATTGCATATTTAACATGATATTTGGATACAATTTCCAGTGTTGTGTCCATTTTGCCGTCGCGGTCTATTTAACCGAGGATTCAGTTGTCGATTTAATCCGTAGAATAGTCTAACCTTCGGCGAAAACTAGTGGGTGGGTGGGTGGTATGGGGAGAATTCCACGGCCAAGCTCATGTCATGCCAGGGTGCTGGTATGATATACCAATGAATTTGGTAACCTTCGTGTACAACCGCTAAATGAGACGAGGGGAAACGAGCCCTTTAGAGACTATTTCTCTCGGGTATTTCCGACATTGCCAACAAGTCCCTCGGATTTCACCGTCTCCTCGGCATTCTTGTATTTTCAATCGATTTTTATCCATTATTGATTGACGACTCTTTTTATTTCACTCGCGAAGATGGAATATTTGAGTTGAGTATAAATGTAATAATTAATAATAATTTGCAACATTCCTACGTTTCCGTAATTATTCCCTAATTTTCACGATTTTTGAAATTTTGACATTTTTGGAAATTTTCAAAATTGATACGACGTGGGGATATCCTTACGGTCATTCGAGATATTTCCAGAATTTCGAGATATTTCGAGATATTTCGAGAGTTTTAGATATTTCGAGATATTTCGAGAAATGCGATATCGATTTTCTTTTTCTTTTTACATTACAATTTTCGAAATATTTTTCGAGATATTACATTACATTCGAGATATTTCGAGGCTTTCGAGAATGTAAGAATTTCGAGAATTTCGAGATATTCAATTCTCCGTTATAATTACGCCCACTTTTTTTTCGGTACAAAAAATGAAAATATAAAATGAAAAAACGAAATTTCCTCAATTATTAATATTCCATTCATCTCAACGAGAATTTCTTTTTTGTTTAAACAAAGGGGGGGCCTTATGCGACCCGATAATTCAGAAGAGAAATATTTTTCGGTTATATCTGAGTAAATATCACACAGAATTGGATGGCTCGTTAGCATTGCGGTAATTTACGGGGAGAATTATTTTGATAACGTGCTGTATCTCAGAAACTACTGAGACGATCAAACCCCATTTCTCACAGAAATATCATAGTAAATACACCCGAAATTTCCGGCTTTTCCGAGCATTTTCTCATTCCCAGCGAAAATAATGTGATAAAAAGTCATAAATATATTTAACCCCATACCGCGTTAGAAAATAATTAAAATTCAAATTCCATTGATAATTAATTCAATTGAGTACAAATTGAAAAAACTCCATATATTGTTTGTTTATTTCGGTATTAAATATGAGAGAAAAGAAATAGATTTGACGACCAAATATAATAATATATGATATACACAAATATTTTAACTTTTTCGTGAGATTCATGGGATTTTTAAGATGAATGTTAAGATAATTTTATTATAAATTTTTCTCAGGGTCATAAAAAATGGAAAAATTTTGATAATTCTTGTCGAAATCAATCTCATCCCCTCCACAAACTCTCGTTTATTCAGAAAACAGTGTCTGTTGAGAAAGTAAATATTATCGGACGGTGAATTCAATAATTCCAGTAGTTTCCTCCCATCTTTATTTACCCCACCCCCAATGTTATTAAAATTTTCATAATGGTCCTGTTCCCTCGAATTCCATTTTCCCACTGCAACCATCAGGTCATGCACAATTACTCCTCACCCCTTTTTTTCTTCTCTGATAAATCGCCAACTTTTATTTTTTTCGAAAGTTGAAATTTCCCTTCATAATACTTTGAAATTGCACTTAGAAAGAAAAATTATATGAAACTTCTGTCCGCGGTGAGAAAAAAAAAGTTGACGGAAAATTCCAGAGCGAATGTAAAACGGTGGATAATAAATATGGAAAACTGTAAAATGTATAATTCAATGATTTCAATAATTTAATATTCGATTTGCAGGTGAATAACAAGAGATGTAAATCGAAGTAGAATTACCCTGCGTTATTTATTCATAAACAATAAAACAATAAAACAATAAAACATTATAAACAATTAAAAAATTAAAACCGCGGGAAAGTTAAAAAAAAATCGAGATGAACGTGAAATTAAAAATTTCTCAAATCTCGAGAATTCCGGGAAAATAATTAATATATTATTATATTATTATATTCACTATAAATATATTCCATTTTCAATGCGATATCAATAAAAAAATATTTTTCAATCGGAGAAAGGGCGGAACTCCCAGAAAATCTCGAAAAATTAAATTCAGAATTAAAATCATGTACCATATCAAGTACAAAGTGTACTTTCAATACGAAATGATATTAATATATCATTTTCAATTATAGAATATACGATTCAAATATTTCCATCGCAGAATATTTTCAAAATTTTCCCCAATTTTTTCATCTAAATTTGACGTTTTATTTTTGACGTTCTTCACAGCATGACGTTGCACACAAAAAAATCCCGGAATAAAATGGTGGAATGAAAAAAAAAATGTTTTTCACCCGCGGGGCGGAAGGGAATAGTGTAAATGTCAAGGGCGACGCGAGTGGAAGATTGCGCGACAGATTTATGGCAAAAAAAAAGATAATCAGCTGCACAATAAAAACGAAATCAATGGGAAAATGTGCCCTCGAAACTGTAATGGCTTCTTTGAAGATATTTTCCCGTCTCATTCGTTAAAATCATTAATTATTCTCTGAATGCCTGAACGGCTTGAACCCACGCCAGAGTATTCATGAGGTCGTGGATCAGCGGCTGACGTTCCGTTCAAAAATAAATGAGGAAAAAAAAAGAAATATGGGAAAAAAAAATAAAAAGTGTCTTGAATGTTCCGTCGTAGTGAGGAATTTTTTCAGAATCAATGGAGGTATTGTCTCCAGTAACGATGGAGTACGTGATATATTTTCTGTATCAATATCTAGACCTGAGAATTTTCATTCTCTCGTTGCGAATAACGAAATGACGTGGAAATTCATTCTTTGGAATGAGCGGACATGCTGATGAAATTCAATTAGCGAAATTATTCCTCCTACATAATTAGATTCAATTACTCTATCAGTTTCAAAACACTTTTTTTAAACATTTAATTTTTTCGGAAACTTCACATGATTTCGAAAAAATAAATACATGAAATTAAGTCTCGGAGAAAAATAATTTTGATTAGGTTTTGATAATTATTCAATTGTGGATTAAATTATAAAATTATATAATCCAATAAATTCCCATTTATCCAATAAAAAATGTCATTTAATAATAAAAAAGTTCATATGACATAAAAAAAATTATTAAATAAACTAAATCCAAAATTCCAGAATTCATTTTAACATTTATTTTTCGAAATTCTCGCAGAATGAACTATTAATAAACCCGACACATTTAAAATCTCACTATTTCCCCTAAATAATTCCAATTACCAAAATAATCGTTTAATTCCATTCGTCTAATTTTGCCAAAATATTATGACAAACGAGATCCACTTTAATCATCTCCCCCAATTAAATTCCGAGTAAAATAAATCCCCGGATCTATTTGTAACTGGTAATAAAAAAAAAGCAGTAAGAATCCACTTCCAAAAAGCACTAGTTTATATTAGCACTCATGATTCACCCGGAATTATTGCAACATTATCCGTACGCAAGTGGCTCATACACTGCCAACATGCGCTCATGAATTTTCTAAAAAAAAAAAAATGTGTTGAAGATCATTGGATATTCTGTGTCATTACAAAGTAACAAGTTCCCACTCCAGAATATCCGAAAGCTGGATCGAGCGACTTTTTCTCAAGATGTTACTCCGATCATCAGTCGTCTGGGAAATGCCCTCGATAGTCGCATTCTCCGCGTTTTCACTCCGTTTTCTCAACTCGATAAAAATTCATATTTTTTTTAGAAATAGACGTACAACACACGTGAATATCCACCGACGTTCAAAATAATTCGAGTACCACTATAAATACAATATGACATTCAGTTTCGTGTGGTGCGTCGTGGTGAGACGTTCGGAGTGACTCTCCAATTAAATATTAACAAATATAGAATTTTAAAATTGTTGAATCGTTGAAACGAGCCAACAGCAACAAAAATCCACGAGCAAACACTCAAATCATGTGATCAAAACAATCTCATCAGTTTGCGATATCATTACAACGAATTGAATTTCAAATTAAACATAAACAAATGCCTTCTACGGTAATTACAATCTCATTAAACCAAAGTTACGCAATAAATCAGAAAATTAAATCAAATGTTTAAATGATGTGATAAAAATTATTCGGTTTTCGGGGATTTCAATTGAATTTGAAATGTAATTTTAATCGGATTTTAATGAATTTTAGTGGGTCAATGTTAAATGTTGAATGTTAATTGAGAATTTATAATTGGTAATTGGGAATTGAGGAAAATGGAACGACTGAGTTTGGCGGAAGTAATGAGACGCAAGGATAAAAGACGTAGACGTGGGTGGACGGTGGTTATTGGTCATGAAGTGCGGTAAGTTAATAACAAATTACAACGTCAGGTGCTTGGGAGATTAATTTATCAATTTGAAGAAAGATTCATTGTCGGTAAAGAAGGTACATTGCGGTGGGGTATACCCAGTGTTGGACAAGTGTCGCAATCCCCGACTTATCAAATTTCTCGTTGTCATTTGCCATCTCGATTACTAGCTTACCGGTGGAGATTCAATCTGAATATTTGGCGGGACTTTTTGGCGGTTTCTCAATGGGGAATCCCCTGGTTGCCTCTCCGAGCGTTTACGTATCACTCTTTTGTTCCGACACTTGAGCACTTTGATAATTACTTTATTGCGGGTTTTGTTTAGAGACACCTGTGAATTCCTCTGTCATACATTTGTTCTTTTTTTTTTTAGGTTTTTCCGCTCAAGGGAACGCCTTGACTTCTTTCCATTTTTTTTTTGTAGAGTTTGTGTCAATAATTCCCGTTAGATAATAAAATAATCGTAATAAAATTGGGATAAGGCACCGGGGGAAGAATTTTTGGGTAGAAATTTTGAGTTTGAATTTTACGGATGAATTCTGTAAATTTTTTTTCCCAGTCGGATTTTCATTGGGACTTGTAAATTCTGTCGCTGAAAAAAAAATCGGAAATATTCGCTGGGAATTGTGTTCACCATTTGTTAATTAATCAACCAATTGCAAAATACATTTAACAATGCATCTTAGATTCTCCCAATGAATATAAAGAATGACTAAACACCCGCATTTTTTTTTAATATATAATAAATACCACATCAATAACAAAACCGTAAACCACGATAAATCATTTATACAATTCGCTTGATCTCGGGAACCATGGGTTTGAGGTAAAAATACTTGAAGACTTTTTTTTCGCTGATTCAATTTCCGGTAAAATCGCTCTTTTCTCATTTTCTCGTAAAATCAATACTTTTCGATCATTTGATATTTCAAAAAATTATAACTCGCCATTTTCGCTGATACTTAAATTTCCTTCTCGATTATCGATTCACAACTACTTGTTGAATAAAAATTACCGTAGACAATCGAACAGCTGTTGATTTACAGTGCAATTACTTGAGGATGGAAATGTGTTTGGGGAAATAGAGAATCGATTGGTGTGTGTTCACACTGAAAACGATGATAACAAATCAAGGAGTAATTGTTTTATGACACTTGAAAATATTTATATCAATCCAAAAACGTAAATCAACTAAAATTATTCCAATCAGATCTTCTCATAATTAGAAAGAAAGAAAGTAATTTTCAAGTCGTAGTAAAAATGACAAGAAACACTTTTTTTATTGCCATATAAACAAATAAAAATAAAAAAGTAATCATTAAAGGGAGGGAGAGGTCAATAAATTGAGGTCAAATATGTCCCTTTGAGATGATTCAGGTTAAAAGACCATTAAATCATTGAAGTCGATTGAACCCGTGGGCAAACAATGTCGAAGTGTCCTGAGGACATGCCAAGATATCCATTTTCACCCCAGATTTATCCCCACGGTTTGTCGTGTGATTAATCGCTGACAATCTGGAGCATCTCGGAGCCGAAAATTCAATGTCAAGAATTCAGAGGACTCCGTCCAGATGACCCCATTCCTCTGATTATGAATTAGTGATTCGATCGAACCTCTTTAATATCCATTTACCAGCAGCCCTTCATCATCACTCGTTATCGAGTCTTAATCCTCTCCAACACCTTCTAATACCTTCCAGAAGGCATCTTGAATCCTAAATTACTAAACATTAATAAATTGAGAGTTTAATATTTAAGTACTCTCAATGTTTCGATATTCAAAGGAATCGGCTGTAGAAGTTTTAATCATTCATTAATTACGAATGGGGGAATTTTTATTTAAATTGGGGAAATTTTTATTTAACGTTTTATCATTTTTGTTTATTTTTGGAATCTTTTTTAAGGGGATTTGGTGCAAATTCTCCCGGAAAATTGAATTAGAACTCTCGCCTTGTTGAAATTAATTAGAGGAATTCTTTTGATTCGCATAGATTTTTTGGGAATATTCCGGGTATTTTTAGTTTCCAATGGTTTATTTAAACGAAATTTTGGATTTTTCATTCCAGAAATTCTAACCAAAAATTTGTGGGTAGTGCAGCTTGAATTTTCATTTGGTTGTGCAAATTGAACATGTAATTGAATTAGTTCCGAATAGATTGCACTCTCAAAACCATCGGCTCCTAAAATTCAGTAATTTTCACTGACATTTCAACGACCACTTGAATGTCCGAAGTGATCATAAAAATCAACCTAAACCAATACGACACGTCACCAATAAAAAATCATAAAACAGTTAAAAAAACAATAAAAAAAAAACCTCAAAATAAATCCTTACCAAATTATAATTATTATATATATATAATCTCCTCTATTCGACCCTCAAAAAATAAAAAAACTTTATATTTCAAAAAATATAAGAAAATCTAAATAAATTTCAAATAATTATTCCGCCATTCAAAATAAATATTCGATAGTCTCAATTGCTATTACATAAAAATATATAAAATAATAATTATATACACTTGTAAATATATTTTCATATATATTCAGACGTGACTCGACTTTGTTTTCACGATGCAATCCAATGAAACCGGAAAACCCACGAGAGAAAATCTTGTATTCAGCATTTTCCCGGTTCCATTTACCATAGATATCTCGAGAGAAGAACATGCATGCCCCGAGAGAAGAAAATCCTCGGAAAACTGCACGAGTCCATTATCTCTTTAATCCGGTAAATGTAATTTTCAATCAAATCCGACAACACCCCCTCACTCCCCCTTCCCCCCCGCGACTTTTCCCCGTGATAAAAGCAATTGTTTATCTCAAGAAAATTTATATCCCATCAGTTTACGTTTAAGCAATTAAATTATTGAATATTTTGATAGATTTTCATTGTTTTCCAGGGATTTTTTAATTAATTGAGAGAGAATAATAATAATAAAATAGTCAGCGATAATAAAATAATAAAATAATAAATAATTGATAAAATAATAAAATAATAATTTTGAGTGATTATATGGGATGGAATAAAATATTGTGAAGTAATAATACGAAAATGATCTTTTCAATTTGAATTTTTTTTTCTGGCTTTCAGATTTTTATTGTTTTATTGATAATTGTTAAGTGGATATGAGCGTTATGTATTTTTCGAAAGATGTGTTGAAAGTTTGGTTACGTTGAATGGAACTCCAGGGGTAATTTCCTAATGTACTGGTAGAAATTTGTTTAATTTCCGGCAACTGTTGCAACTGAATTCTCGATGTTGTGGAGTTTAATTCTATTTGAGATTACAACGTTCATGAAAGTTCCCATGCGTCTTGAAAAGTTAATGAAACAGAATTTCGTGATGAGCAGTCCCTGATAATTCAGGAACAACTGGAATTGCAAATTGAAAATTCAAATTTTATTGGAAAATTTGAATATTGAAGTTTCACAATTTTTTTTATATGAATATTCAGGAAAATTTTCACTTTTAATTGAGAATTCAGGGGAATAATTAAATTTTTGAAACAACTAGATTATGGAAAAAACTGACGAGTTGAAAATTCCTGGGAGTAATGACTTCAATTTTATTTCAATTTTCATGATGAATCCGAAAATTCACGGATTCACTGGAAAATCAATGAGCGCTTCACGTGAAAAATTAAATTTTCTTGATGAACGAAAAATTTCAAATAAAAAATCAATCCAAAAATTCAAACGACAACCAAGCGTTCCATACTAATAATCCCAAAAAATAATTATTCATTCCCTCAATACCCCCATTAAACATAAAATATAAAATTAATAGGAAAATTTTACAGCTAGACGAATCAATTGCCCGTTTTGCCATATCATCGATTTATCGCGGAAGCTATCGATTTGAACAAAAAATCTTCCAGGACTTTTTTTTAACGAATTCGATTTTCTTGAAGATCGATCTTTTCACATTTTTTCTTAAAATCAATATTTGTCTAGATAAATCGATATTTAAAAAACCGGCACTAATATTCTTCATTCTTAAATATTTTTCGTCTAAAACCATTTTTTTTATATATTCCAATAATAATGACAATAACAATAATAATTTAATATTTAAAATTTTAAAAGATCCAACTTTAAGATCTAATAATAATAATTTATTATTATTAATAATAATAATAATTAATATATGAAAATTGTTATATGATATTTCACTTGAAATGTCAGAAAGCGAAATATAATTAAAAAACATTAAAACCGACGACAGAGCCCCATCAATAAATAATCATAGCACCAGTGAGGATTAGACCGCGATAACCCTAAAATATAAATGCGCAAATGAATAATAAATAAATATTAAACATTACCCCGGATAATTCCGATGGGAGGTGAATCGGGTATTGGATGCGCAAGCACAAAATCGAGTGAATCCAGAGGGTTAAAGGGGAATGAAAATTTGATTGGTCATATGCTGCGCCCTGTGACACCGCGTAGCTGAGGTGTGCACTTCCTAGAGGGAACCTCTGCTGGTGCTCTTGATTTTCTACCGTACCTCAGTACAACCCAGTGCTTCAACAAGAGCGGACCACTAACCAACCTCAATCCCTCCACTATTTTTTATTATATACTCCAAAAAAAACAGGAGAGAGGAGAGTAAAAAATTGTATAAACAAAAAACGATTTATCACTCAATTTTTTTATCAATCGCGGTTAAGACTTTTTACGACAATATTTACGAGGAGTCAGTGTTTATTTGCTAATCAGTTTTTATGGGACGCAACTATTGTCGAACAGGTAAATTAATTAATTGATTTAGTATGAATTTCGGGGTTCTTGGTGATAAGTGATAACAACCCTCTGGAGCACTTGGAGGTGTGATGGATTTGTGAAATGAGAGGATTTTTTTTTTGGGGGTGTAATTGGTGGTTGGGGTGGATGGGGTGGGTAGGGTGGACAGGGTGGACAGGGTGGACAGGGTGGACAGGGTGGATTAGGTGGTTGATTGATTTTATTTAATCCAATGGTTAGCGATAATTGTGAGGGTAGGATGTTACGCCGGAAGTGAATGAACAATGGGGGTGGATTACAAATGTTGCGGGTTGAACTGCGGAATTTTCCAGGGATTTTCGGGGACAATTGGTGATTCAAGTTGACCGACGACCAGTTCAGTCAGTGACGCAGGTGATGTACTTGCATATGACCCCAGACCTCGAGATAATGGATAATGAGGTTTGACACAAATCGTGACTCGAGTTGTGTTATCAATCTCCTGGGGAGGATTGTTGGGCATTCGTCGGGTTTGTCTCCATTGTTGTCGGGATTGTTTCTAATTAGACTCGGTTTTTGGTTATTGGTTACGGGATCGATCAGCGAGATGCCAAAGGTCATGGGGTCAGGTGATCCGAAAAAAAGGAACAACAAAAAAATTTATAACAAATAAAAAGGTGAAATAGCACATCAGTTTTATTCATTCCTAAGTCATCCAGAAATATCAACGGATCTAGGGGAAATACCGAAATTTTCGTAATTATCTTTTTTGGAGATCGTAATCTGGTCTGTAAAAAAGGTTATTATGAATATTTTGGTATTTTTGTTAGATTCGGAGATATTGGTGGATGACTCAACGAGGGAATGACAGTGTCACTGAATAAAATTATGAGGCGTTGAATAAACGAAATTAATTGCATAATTAATTAGAAAATTCAATAAAATTTCATGAATATTGCGGGAATATCGTTTATTGGAGAAATCCAGGATTATGGAACATTAAAGCTTCAGACATGATAAATAATTATCTCTCGTCTGCAATTATTTATTGAAATGTAAAACATTATGTCTCATAATTACACAAAGTGCATCTTCATTTGCGTAAATAGAATGGAAACGTTTCATTCCAATTAACCGGTATTATTTAAACTGAAATTCTCGGGACAATTTTATCATAAAACTGCGAGGGATTGAATTGAATAATTAATTTTTTAATGACAAGACAGCTCATTGTCGGTGCAACCATGACTAATTAAAAAATTCCGCAATACAACACGCAAAATTCACACCAAAATCCATGGAAAATCGTATCTCTGTGATAAATTGTTAACGAATTGAATTATTCATTTCACCGTGGACTATTGAATTTTTCGTAATTAGCGAAGTCTCATTCGGATAAAGACAATAACTCGATTCAATTCAATCAGTGGTTAAAACACGGCTATCCGAATTATCAATCGGATCGTAAATGGTCGATCTTGATTGAGAAATTGTCTACGTGCCGATCCCATTAAGTCTAATCGATTGATCGAAAGGGGTAATGGTATGAGATATCATTGCATCTATTCACTTCCTTCGAGATCCAACGATAAATAAATAAAAAATACGATCATTAAATAAACTACAGAATTATTGAATTTTCCATCAATTTCGACCAATCGCTGGGAATTCTCGGAAATGCAATAAAAAAATATTTTAAAATGCGAATAAAAATTGAGTTTATAAATAAATCCTGGGGGATGGGATTATTTTGTTTATTTGAATAAATAAGAAGTTTTCTTTTTTATTTGGAATTTTATTTTAATACTGCGAAATTGGTTCCAGAGAAAATTGAATTTTTTTTATAAAAATTTGTTTTTTTAATATTCGAACACCCGAATGAAATTTAAATTAATAAATAAATTCACCAACTTCATTCACTTCAATTAACAAACATTCAATCGGTTGTTATTAAAATTTCCAATTAAACATCATGAAATCGAGTTTTGGGAAAAAATTGAATCTCAAATTCAATTATTTCGAAGATTAAATAATTTTTTCTCAATGCAGTCTCGTCGGATCCCGGAAAATTCGTGGAGAAATTCCGACACGAAATATCCGAATTTCTCCCATTTTTTTTTTATTTTTCTCGTCGATTTTTCTCGTCGAATCAATGAAATTCCTTAGGAAGCCGTTCCAAGATGTCACAAAACGCATTCGTGAACTTCATTCTCTGAAAAGTTTCCAAACGACCTACTTTTTTCATTTCCTTTTATTTTTCTAAATCGATAGAGACTCATTAACGTCTATAACATGTTTTCCGTCATTTTTACCAACGCTAAAGTTATCGGACACGCAAAATCGTAGTTTAATACTTAAAAAAAAAATCTAGCGACTAAATTTTCCGAGTTTTCATCTCCCCATCTCCACTGGGTCAAAGTTCCAAGTGAGTAATTATTTTGCTTTCCTAGCTGAAGCTCATTAATTCATACTCGAGCCCTCAGTGCAGCGGAACGAAAATTCTCTCGTGTTTTCAAATGCTGTCGCTCCTAGCAATTTCCTTCAGTCAGATATTTGTTTTATTTTTTTTTTCAATTCTTTGTTACTGAAACGGAAATGCGACAACGCGAAAAGAGAAAATAGAATAACGATGGGAGTTCAAATGAAAATAGAGAGGATTGAATTCAAAGCCAATGCCGCTTTGATGGAAATGCGGAAATTTTTAATCCGAAAGATGATAAGGGACATCTCGAAAAGGATTTTATTATGTACCTGTGCAATGACCTGGACATTGTCCCAAGATTATAAAAGAGGAAATGGAAGTTTTATTTTCTTATCTCCTTCCATTATTTCAGTTGAAAAGACATAAAGCCTCGGGTTTTCCGTGATATCTCTATTCAATAAGATCCTATATTTATGCGGAATCCATTTTTGAATAATTATTTTGCGCAAACGTTTTTCGCGCCAACTCTAGGGAATTTTCAAAATTTTCTCTCAAAACTGTGGAATCCCTGAATTTTCCGCCATTTTTTCATGAAGATTTCGTCATTAATTTTCAATTCAAATTCATTGTTCATTATTATATTGCATAAAATAATTTTATTGTTATTATATAATTGAATAAATTATGGTATAATTGTTTAATTAATTATTCCGATTTAATTGTCGATTCGATTTATTGATTGAATTTTCGGTTGATTATTGGAAATTAAATTTTCATTCTCTTCTTCATGAAAAAATTGTAGGGAAAATTATAAATTAATTGCGAAATATTGACAATAAATAAATGATAAATGGGAGAATAAATTAATTATTGGTGTAAAATTAAAATTTCGGGGTAATTTCTAGGGTAGAATTAAAATTTCAATTTTCTCGGATGAGAATCTTTTTTTTTTTAAAATTATTATTCTCTTCTTCATGAAAAAATTGTAGGGAAAACTATAAATTAATTGCGAAATATTAACAATAAATGAATAATAAATGGAGGAATAAATTAATTATTGGTGTAAAATTAAAATTTCGGGATAATTTCTAGGGTATAATTGAAATTTCAATTTTCTCGGATGAGAATCTTTTTTTTTTAATTTTCATTCTCTTCTTCATGAAAAAATTGTAGGGAAAACTATAAATTAATTGCGAAATATTAACAATAAATAAATGATAAATGGAAGAATAAATTAATTATTGGTGTAAAATTAAAATTTCGGGATAATTTCTAGGGTATAATTGAAATTCCAATTTTCTCGGATGAGAATCATTCGATGATTATTAAATCAACGGGATATTCTCCCGGGGCGAGTGAAGAATCCATTGAACTTGCGTTTTCTTATCTTCTCTGATTACTTAACCACAAGTGGAATACAGATACATAAATTTTTGAGGCGTAAAGAGTTCAGTACATTTTACGTAGTCGACATTCCACTGAATGATTCATCCAAAAATTCGATGAAATCATCGAGGCACTAGTTCTTTGACAATCGCACCGTCCCTCCCGATACAATCCCTAAATTAATAACAACAATTCCACTAATTAAAAAAAAAATCAATAAATTCTCTCACCTAGAATTCAATTCGCAAATTCCCCAAAAAAATTCATCAATTCTCATCGAATAAAATCATCAAACCAAAAAATTTTGATTAACTAAACTTAATTAATACTTCTGAGAATTCTGGAATTAATTATTATACATTAATTAAAATAATATTAATACCGATATACTATCGATATCGAATTGTTTATTCTATTATACTATCGAATAAACAAATGATTTGAAATAAAATAGAATATTGATTATTCCCTGGAAATTGAAAATCGATGAACAATTGATTTTAATTCGATTGACTGGAATTACGAGAAATTAATGGGAATTTCTAAAATCGAGAAGGCGATTGGCTATTTTTTTGGAGGAATCGATGCGAATCGAATAGATGGCAGTGGATTCTTTTGATATTTTTGATCCGTCGGGAGATTAATTTTTTTTTTTTCCTCATCGTCCACATGAGTATTGAATTTCGCAAAGCGTCAGTGGCTCTATTTGTGCCGCAACGGAAATGCCGCGGCAATCCGTCTTTGCCTCCTCGTAAACAAGGTTAATACCATTCAGGATATACCATTCAGCTGATAGAATTCTCCAGCTTTCTGTGTAATTCCCGTGTTTGTCTTCAATCAGTAGATCACGACGAGAAAAAATACCGCGGAAAACTGCGCGAGATTTGCGTAATCCCCGGGTGAAATATCGCGTTAAAATTAACGATAAAATTTCATTTTTTACGAGATCCATGTTCGCGGAGGAAAAATACTTTAATCAAGAATACTTTATACTTCATTCAAGTTTATACGTTGTACTTTATACCAGTCTATTAATAAAATTATTCTCCACATTTTTTGACAGTCAAATTTTGCGGCTTTTTTCACTCCATTCAATCACACCAGCTGATCAATTTGTTTATCTTTCAAATTATTAAAATTGTTTAATTTTTTGATCTGAAAACAATTTTTAATATAATTATAATTATAATATTTGGAGTGTAGTTTATAATTAATGCAATCAATAATTATGATGAATTGATTTATTATTATTTATTAATCCCAGCTTTAATTTGTTTATTCTTCAAGTTATTGAGAAAATAATCATCTTTTTTTTGAGGGAATTTTTTTTATTGACATCGCGTTTAAAATCATACGCAAAATTTTCACTGAATTCAGAAGCTCCAGGTCATCATCTGCTCCATCACCTTTAACTTCTTTACTTCAAGACTTTCCGACCTCTTGCTTCTGAATAGTAAATTTCCCTTCATTTTTGAGATCAAAGTCAACTCATTTGAAATTCAGAGGCATTAATTTTGCATTAATCTCCATTCATTGCTTCGGATAAATAATTTTTCCATATGAAACATTCTACAACAAAATAATCGACAATTACGGAAAAAATGAAAATTTTATAAATAAAAATTAATTCAATTGACAAAAATTATTTGATAGAAATTTGAATATCAAAAATTGCGGGAAAATTCAATTTATTCATAGAATTTATTTAGAAATTATTTGAAATTCGCGGTTTAAGTATCGAAGGAAATTGCGACATAAATTCGAAGTTAAATGACAAAATGCAAGAGTAATCCACTTATTCCAGTTATCGACAAACCGTGACTACTCGTTGGCACCATTTTTATCGATTAAATGTAGAGAATTGATGTCCACGCAGGATAAACTTTTTTAAAGTACACCGTGAATTCGAAAGGAAAATGCAAATACCTGTACCTAGACTAAGTACCAACAATTACCCAGAAAAATTTCAAAACGTTTCAGTACCAGAGTAATTCTTGAAAAGCTGACTTTAACGTATCAAGAAAATAGTTTACGACGAGCAGACGATCTGAAACATTCTAATTTATTTTAATTTACGACTAGAGCCGGGAAAACCCGAGGTTTAAATCCGGAGAGTCGCAGGGTTAAAAATTCTACTGCAGACAAATGATTCCCCTCAAGAATTAATTTTTGTTAAAAAGCAGTAATTAAAACCTGTAATTAAAAAATTAAACAATCCAAAAAATCCACATCTTATGACATCGCAGAAAATCGTTGAATAGAATTTTTGGACTAGATAAAAAGGAAACGAGAATAATTCCCGATAGAACTTTACAAGAAAAATTTACTGAAGAAAAGAAAGCCCTTGTAAAGCTCAGAATATCCACCTCAGTGTTTATTCCCTCCGTTGGTTTATTTTTCCGCGTCTTTGTCCGGGGAATTTTGTCCGCGTGAATAAATTCCCAGAGCCTCCAACTTCCCCGACAAAACTAAACAAGAATCAATTACGCAAATTGTTCCCCACAAAATACGTGAACTCGAGACCCATTAAGACCTTCCACTCTCACAATCTCGAGGAAAAACTCACTCCTATTATTATCCACTGACCTAAATGCCAATTGTCTTCAGAAAATGCGAGAAAATCCCGTCGTGGCAACATAAACCCACTCCAAGCAAACGGCCAATTTCCCTGGCACCAGCATCATAAAACCCTTCAACATCTTCAACATTCGTTCTCCTTTTCAGATCCATTTAGATAAAGTCCCCCATTCCCCTGGCACATGACACATCCAACGCACGACAAGTTGGCACTTGACAAAGTTGTAAAACCGATGTAAAATAAGTTCAATTGATCCTATCGCCTGAGACATACGCCTGAAAATCAGTGGCACCAGGCCATTATCAACACGTACAATGACAAAAGCTAAAGTTGGAACAACATCGGTTAAACAACATTCCAACTCATCCCGCAATAACACATTCACGCGTACGACACATCCCACATTGTCGAGACATCGGCATATCACTCCCAAATTCCCCCAATTAACGAAAAAAAAACATTAAAAAAATAGAAAAAAATATTTCAGCGAGAGGACGTCAAAAAAATTCCCCCAAAAATTCCCACTTGATTGATTGCATTGTGCATGAATACCTAAAGCATAACTATATATTTTCCATATTAACTATCTTCAATTATATAAATTTATCGATTTTCGATAATTATATCACGTACACCAAATGGTCAATCGATTTAATTTTTTTTTTAAATCAATGCTGCGGGATAAGTGCATTGAATTTATAAATGCAGTTGGGGATTATTTTTATATTTTATTTAGATGCAGAAATTAATGGATTCTCGGGTTAGGAATCCCTGAAGAAATGGAGTACTGGAAATATAGAGTGATATTAATTTCCCTATGGTCTATTAAATTGGGTTTTGGATGCCTGGGCTATTTTTTTCCGAGTCTATTTCTTCTGGTATCCTCGGGTTATCTCCTCAATAGTCTAATTGTCTTCATGAAATTCGACAGTACCTCGTAATTACTCTAGACTCTAGAGCATCCGTCGCCCAGATCGGAATTATTTTTTAGGATTTTTTTGACGCGCTCCTTTTTCACTCTTTTTTTTATCGAAGTTTTTGTTTTTGGGTTTCAGTTGGCATTCGCCTGTAATATTTTACCTCTCGTTCATTGCTCTCTTAAAATTGCTCCTCAATTTATTCTGCATTTTTACCGACAAAAATTACATATTACATGCGGTCGAATCGGTAATTCCGACGCCCCAAAAAAATCAGACAACAAAAAGTAGAAAAAAAAAAATACCTCCCATCCCCCGAGAGGAACTCCAAGTGCTCATGGGTTGACTTGATCACCAGATCCCCATTCACCTAACCACCCCGGATTGTATTCTCAAATTGCAGCTAGCCGACGCTAAAAAAAGAACGGGAAACAAGAAGATGAGACGATTAAAGTTCTGATGTAGCAAGTGGAATTGAGAATTTCAAACCTATTGGAAAACCCGAGAGATCCCAAGGATGGCAGAAGTGTCAAAGGGCAATGGCAGTGGTGACGCTAAGTTGAGGACATCAAAGACATCATCATCAGACAGCAAAGATGAGGAGGACAGATCTCCAACAGTGGCCCGAATTCGTGTAACAAATTCGTTGAGTCAGGACAGCGATAGCGAAACTAGGAGACAATCAGCGAGCAGAATGTCACGTATATTTCTGTTATCATCAAACCGCAGTCCCCAGTCGAGCTCAAGCCAGGAGGAATACGAGCCCGATTCGACAAAGCGTTTGCCGGGAGCGACACTCGGTGTTAATGGAGGCCATCAGGTAGGAGCAAGATCAATGGAGAGCCTTCAACGTGGATGTAGAAATTTTCTGAGTGCTGATGAACGCTACGGTGAGGATTCCAGGTCACTGGAATCACTCACAACCCAAACTGGCGCCTCAACATCCAACACAACTGGTTTAACACTGGGTACTGGAGTTAAATCGCATCATCATTATCGAAGTTTTCTCAGCTGTTCGTCAGCCAGCTCATCCTCGTCGTTTACCTCAAAGAGGCGAATCGGTATGGCATCCGAATCACGTAGCAGTGAAAATTTGATGAGACGTGAGGAAAGTTTGAATGCCGAAGTTAGGAGGGGATTGTATGCTAGCACAGCACTTGAGAGAAAAGCACCGAGATTACATCTTAGTTTACCTCAGGATGATGATCCCCTGTCATCGGGACCACCTAGTGTTTTTTCACTCACCAGTCCTGGGGGTAGTGATAGGAGAATCACCATTTTGAGTCCGCATTCACCTTTACCCCATGGAGATGTGCAGCACAATTACTCCATCCAGAGTCTCAGGGCGAGGAGGAATAAGGCACTTGTACTGCCGAGGTTGGTCTTGCCACGAAGTGAATCCGAGGTGTTTTTACAGTGAGTAGTGATTGTCGATTCGTCATTGTCAGCTGAAGTGATCGTCGTCGTCGTGATGTTGTTTTTGTTGGGTGTCTTTCATCCGGGGCTTGTTCTCGTTTGTCCGATGGTTATGGAGATTGGAGATATCGGGAGACATCGTCGGTTGGTTCGGGGCTATGAAGGTCGTCCACGGGATCGATAATTCGGCGGCGCAATCAGGGGCATCAGGTCATTCCGTAGATCATCTTCAATGCTTCAGGCGACTGTCGACTTTGTTGTAGTATTCACTGAAATTTGAAAATTCAAAATTTTTTAAAAAGTATCAGGAGAGCATGACAATTGAGGAAGTAGTCACTGAAATGTGAAAATTCGAATTTTTTGAAAAAGTATCAGGGGAACATGAAAATCGAGGAGGCATTCACTGAAATTGAAAAATTTTAAATTTTCAAAAAAGTATCAGGGGAGCATGAAAGTCGAGGAGGTATTCACTGAAATTGAAAAATTCGAAA